AAGTTGACCATTACGAAGAAAGTAGGCAGTTATAGGACGATCAAGCAATTTTTAGGCGATTGATCATAATGAGATCGTCCATGAAGTATAAAAGGGAGAAAAGACGTAGAGCAAAAGACGGAATCAAAAACTATCGAACAGAGAACATTTAATTTTCATTTCCTTAGCTTAGATTTAAACACTTTTCTTTCAGTAACTCGTGTGCTTGCGGCCCTTGGAGGCACGTTGTTTTTAATTTCCAATTGTAAAGTCATCGCCAATAAAAGAACACTCATTTTTGGGACTTTGTCTCAAGAGGTTTTGTTCCTTACACAATCGTCTGATCCTTTTTAATTGTTAGCGACTAACCCGCGCGAAATACTTTGCAATTTAAATGATGAACGCAGTAGTCAGGAAATTAAGAACGTCTCAACTTTTTTTTTTTTTGGGACCAACTGCTTTTCGAAATTTCACGTAATGACACTTGAAGAGTATGAGAAGGTTCTGGAAGAGAGAATGACGGTTCCCCAAGCTCTTACAACTGAAGAAAGGAAGGTTGACGTGAAAATGTTTTGAATCCATGCAATAATTTGCGAACAAGAAAGCAGCTATGATATATTCATCAAATTGGTAAATCTACCAACAGACCCTGAACTATTTAATTTTTTTTAGCATTTCATAATTTATCTTTCCACATGCTTTGAACATTGTTGTTTTTATCCTTATTTCTAATGCACAATGTACAGTTAGTTGGACAGAAATATTGACGGATGAAAAAAAGCGAAAAAAAAAATTTCTGTCAAACAATTTTTTCAATTTCTATCAAAATGTTTTCTCTTTTTTTTTCAAATTGATTTATCCATATATAATCCATGTTTGGTAGAAATTAAAATCCAATTTTAATCTAAATCAGAGTCAATAAATAATTTTAATTACACATTTCATAGGATTTACAACTCTTCAACCACATATTTTATCAACTTTTATCAAAATTTTATGAAAATCTTATTTTAATCCCCACCAAACAGGGCATAATTTCCCTTTGTAGATGTGTGAGTCGATGTTTATGTAGTTGGGGAATTGAAAAGTGTATTTTATACACTTATTTAGGCTATCAAATTTGATTATTTGTTGATGAATTGTAGGAAACATGGCTTAATTCTATGTACATATGTTTGTAGGTTACAATCAATGAAAGAAGCGAGAGTAAGGAAAATTAGCCAAAAAAAAGGCTCAATTGCATAAATACAAATTTCAGGATCTAAAATGCAAGAATTAAAAAGTTGGGTCGAATTGCAAAACGATGATTTAAGAATGCCAAAAGTCAATTGGAGTTGAAAAGAAGTCAAAGCGATGAGAAATTGTCGAAAATGAGAAAAATACACAAGTGGGAAAGTTTAGGGACCAATCGGCAAAATTGGTCCCCAAAAATTTATACCAGGAGGATCTTGCGTAAGCAAAGTCACAAAAAGCATTACCTGATATCAAATTCCGCGTACTCTGTGTACATTTACTTTGAACCATGGGTTGAACCATGCGTACTCATGGTTCAATTCTGGAAAAGGATTTGTTTTCTTTATTTTGTTTTAAAAACTTTTGGTATGTAATATTTTGGCGTCTATATACCATAAGCCATGTAAAATGTGGGAGAGACCTATCTATCATTACTTTGAGAGATCAAGAGATGATTTTACACTGAAGAATCAAGAGATACATTGTTTGGGTTGAAGACTCAAGTGAAGAATTGGAGCTTTCAAGTTCTTCACCATATTCCTTGTCTCGGGTGATGTCTTTTCTTATTCTTTTATATAATTTTCAAATGGCTATATTAGGCTAAACAACTTTGTGTATTGAGTTGATGACAAAACCTTTTTATTTATAATTTTAATTCAAGACTTGTTGATATTCAAGTTCCTTTCGCATTTGTGATTTCATATGCATAAATTGTGGTTGTTTTAACATCTGCACATTATTAGAACATATTTTTTGCTTATTCGTAGTCTTGAAAAGCTCACGATAAGTAGAACGTCGTATATGGAACACACGGGTTAATAAATATTAGAAACAATATTTATAATGTGTGCGATTGTGTGTAATAATTCTATAATTAAATGCATATTTTATGTGAATTCGGAATACGAATAGGGTGAGTCGTGTTAAACACAAGTTTGATATATTTTGAAAAAGAACATTGAATAAAATTGAATTATCAATTGTCACAAACATACTAATCACATTAATCAACACAAGTTGAGAATTGAAACTAGAAGTCAATAGGTCGAGTCGGAAATCCAATACAGTCATTTCATATTTTATAAAAACTATAGTTTATTGCTTTTAAAGTATTATTTAGCATAATAGAAAAACACAACAAACAACGTTTGTTACAATAGATCGAATTTGGTAAATGCTAATATACTAAGATTGAATGTTATTTCTTGTGAGAGGATATTTGTAATTCACTATGTATTACTTGTCAATGATCATGTACCCTTGCGGAAATTTCTCTAAGAGGAATATACTGCATACGGTTTGTTTGAACCCTAATTTTTGAGAAAATAGATTTTAATAATAATAATAATTCTTCTGGAACGTATGATTAAAAAATAAGAAAAATGTTTTAGATTTACGTGCAAAATTATTTTACTAGGAAAAAAAGTGATTAAAAATGAGTTCGACAAAAAAAGAATTTTCAAAAAAATGTGGCTCAAATGTTTTAATACTTTGTGTTACTTAAATAAGTAGAATTACAAAAATTTTAAGTAGTCAGTTTGATTTTGATTGTTCTCTATTCAAGAGTTCATGTTTGACCAAATAATTATTTTGGTGAAAGTTAAAAATTAGAAAGTTTTTCATATTAACCGAAGCAAAAGCGTAGAGTTGCTATGGAGAATGAAGAGGTATTTTCCATCGGTTTACCTTGGTATCATGTTCATACCGTTGTATTGAATGATCTGATCAGTTGCTTTGCATTCATATAATGCATATACAGCTCTAGTTGGTCGTTGGGCAAGTTTGGCAAACTTTTTTTTACTATAAGAAAGAAAAGTAAGTTCTCTAAACCCATTTTACGTAAAAGTAACTCTACTGTTTTTTAGGCCAAACATACCCATGAGATAATAGCTCTGTTGAGGCAACTGGATGAAGACAAGAATTCTTTTTTGACTGAACCTTTTTCTATCGAATGGTTAGTCTGTCAGCATCAACGAGTTTTTGAAGCCTGCTGAGGGTGGTGGGGGGTCGGGGTTCCCTAATGTGGAAGTAGGCAACTTTCCCTACCTTGGGTGCCAAATGAGGAGTTCTCCTTGCCTTGCCATTACTATTTATCTCAAATTCTTCCATAGTGGCAGTATTCACTTGTATCAAATTCTTCAAGTTTGTTTAAGTCCCATTTGGTACATATTAATGTAAAAATGAGAATGAGAAATATAATCGTTACAGACCCCACATAAAAGATAGAAAGTCAAATATTGTGACTTGATGTGATGGATAACGGTCATATTTTTCATTTTAATGAGTTAATAATGGGAAACAAACGGGAGCTTAGTGTTGAAACAGGTCTTTTTTGGTCCCTTTTTATTTGTTAGAGGGAAATGATTGTTTAGCAAAAGAACTCCACGGAACACGAATAAGATACAAAGCATTCATTCTGAAAAGGTAATTAGCATTATAATTGTTACGAGAAGTGAATAAATTGAGTTTTTACTCTAAATATATTAGTCAAATTGTTTACCTACTTATTTGGTTTAGTTTGATTTTGAATCCCATTTCTTGTAATTTTTCTTCTTCCAGTTTAGTTTGATGATATTGGTTCATTGATTACAAGATATCTTTATAGTATAATCAACAACGAAACAGAAAAAAGTTAGCACATATCAAATCAGTATTATTTTCTCAACGTATCTTTATCCGCACATCAAAATTGACAAATTGTCATTAATTTTAATATGTATTGGTCAAAAGGCAAAAGATGAAGTGTACAAGACAATTAACTAAGAAAGAAAATTAGGTGCCAAGATAATTAATATGGGTATTTCAACAATTCGATTGGATAAGATGTATACAATTCTAATTAACAACAAACTTACCCCTGACTAATGGAAAGAAAAAGTATATTGTAATAATAAAGAACAATTATTTAATATTCACCAATAGCTTTCCAAAGCCAAAACTTAACAACCCTATTGACCCTACTCTTTTATTAAATATTTTAAAAGAAAGAAACAGTGAAGCATCATATCGAGGACCCCCACTCCCCCAGTAGAGTTTATTTGATAAAGTCATTATCCTTAAATTTTAATAGTTTGACCAAAATAAATGGTTAGTGCCAACCTTATGTGAGCTGCACCATCTCGTTTGTATTTTTTTCATAATAAATTAGGTGGCAGTTATAGTTAAATACATATGAAAAATATAACACATGCATATGCGTGCACACACATTAACATCCCTGGCAAGAAAATTGATCTACGAGAAAAATATAAATAAATAAAATGTTCGAGCTCATCATTATTAAAATTTGAGTCATAGTTTTGACCTTCGAGAAACACTGTGAGAAAATAATTAATTAAGGGATTTTCGAGAGTAGAGATCCTTAATGTATGCCTTTTATGCCAACTGAATTAAATGTTTGTGTTAAAATCATTGTAACTTAATTTTCCTACGAAGAGAAAAATAGCTAAAATGGCTTTCGCCAGCCCTATCTCTAACAATGATGGTATGGCGTAGTCAATATATTTGCATCATTGAAGCATTTTTTTCTTTTTTCTTTTTCCGTTTATCTTTATTTTTATTTTTATTTTTATTATTTTTTGGGTAGTGCCTAGACACTATTTTACAAGTGAAGTTCATCATGAATTTATGTTGGCAAGAACACAACTGGCCTAACCGAACTTTCAGAAACTTCAAATTCAGTTTTCCAAAACCAGTAGCTTTCAACAACCCTTGACAGATTCAAAGAATCCTTCGTGCATTAGGTATGGACAAAGAAAAAAATGACCCAAAACAATTATACCATTAAATTATATATTAAGATAGAAGAAGTGGAATTTACTTGCTCCTTTTCTAAACAACTCTATTCAACATTCCTATGTCATAATTTCATGTTCAACTTGTCTATATAAGTTGCATTCTAACCCATCTTCCGAGCATTTAAATTTCTCTCCATATTATAACACAAATAAATATCATAACAAGCCATGAAAATGGCCATTTGTGCTGGTTTTCTTGTTCTTTTACTGGTTTCTCCTGCAGTATTTGCTAAGGATATCACTGTTGGTGGCAACAATGGATGGACCGAGAGCTTTGATTACTCCTCGTGGACTTCTAGCCAAACATTTAATGTTGGTGACAACCTTGGTGAGTTTTGTTTTTCGTTCAATCTTGTAAGAAAAGACTTTTCATGACTGCTTAAATCTCGAATGAAAATAATAATCAACGATAAGTCACTTGTGATGCTATGGATAGTTTTTTGGACGAATATATTTTTAGTCAACAATTTTTACCTACTGAAGTTTTATCTTCCGATGATGTCTTTTTCACTTTTGAGTTGGTTTCTCCATTCAATTATTTGGAAAGGGTTTTCACGATGACCATCGAAACTTTACATGACAACTAGCTATTCATCTTGAGAACGAGGTGTGGGTCTATGACCGTCGTACAAGAGAAGTTTCTTTACAACCACCATGCACAATCTTTGTTTAGTCTTTTTTTGTTAATATAATTTGGTTAATTTTTACAAAAATGATACATGTATAGGGCAAATACACGGGAATTTTACAGGTGTTGAGATGATAACATTTGATTAGCTGTTTTAACTTTATATGTTTGTACAAAATTCAATGAAATGTTGCCATGTGTCATTTGTAAAAATTTCTCTAAAATCTCCTTATACACATAGCATTGTTCTAATTTTAAACATTGAAAACTAATTTAATAACTGATAATTTGAATCTTGGTGATCAGTGTTCAACTATGGACCCACTCACAGCGTGTATGAAGTAAGTAGAGCAGACTATGATAATTGCAACACAGGGAATCCCAGAAGTACTCACAGCCCCAGCCCCACCACTATTCCTTTATCCGCCGCGGGTTCAAGATATTTTATATGTCCTACATCCAATCACTGCTCTCAAGGTATGAAGCTGGCAGTCAACGTCGTGGCTGCTGGGACCCCCGCTCCCGGTGGCTCACCACCGTCCGGTTCACGTCCCACACCAAGTTCGCCTAATACGCCACCTGCTCCACCTGGTACTTCAGCCCCACCACCACCTTCTGGTGGCGCAGCCAGCATTTTCGGAGGGATGAGTAATTTGATAGTTGGATCATTGGCAGCCCTGTTTGTATTAATGGGCTAGGAAAGAGGCAGTGCCGTTTGATTTTCGTTGGATTTTCTTTGGTCATATGCATGTTTATGATATGTAGTTCATTGTGTGTACATGATTTGAGGAATATTTGATTATGATTACTTGTTTTAGTCTTTTAATTGAAGCATTTTTATTTTTCTTTTCATAATTTTCTTCCGTAACATTGTTACAATATCTGGTAAAGAATTAGCTAAGATCGAGCTTTTAACTCGTGAAATTCATAAAGATAATAATTATAACATTACATCTGAGTTTAGTGATTTTATAACATAAAATGCAATATATTATGATTTGAGTACAATAATTCTATATGAAATAATATCAGCACTAACACGTTAACACACAAGATGTTACGTTTCAAATTCACTAATCAGGTAGTTGTTAATCATTTGGCACAAAGCTCGATAAGTGTCCTTGGCTCCTTGCTTCATCTAACCTATATCATTGCGACAATATCCATTAACTTGTACCATAAAAGAAATTGAGTTTTTGTTATTTTGTTAGAGTTGTTCCATGAATGCAGCTCTCTTTATTTTACTTTGGACTTCTTTTTCTAACTTATGTATCGAAGTCGTAAAATGACCAACCTAAAACTCGATCAACTTGGACAAACCAAGTTGCTCATCTAGTAGACTTCAAAGATTTCTCATTCCTTGAATTGTTCTATAGTTGCTTCCGTCTGATTTGCCAGCAAAAATTCTATTTCTTAAGGAAGATAATGAGGAGAGAAGTAGATGGGGGAGGCACGACACGAGCATATTCAGTTTGCCGAAGTGAAGAGAGCCCATGATGCGGAAAATGTAAATGTATGATATGCATATTTGGTATACGTACAAGATTAAAAATCGTCTTATTGATTATTTTTGTACGGTATTATTTATCCGACGTGTAAAAATACAAGTTATTTCTCGTTATCTTTTTTATCTATTGTGATGAATCAAAGGGAGTGATGGGTTTCTTTCTCTTTGGATTAGATAATTAGAAAGAGATCTCTTCTGGTACACCTAATTTCTTTTGACTGAGATTATTTTCATTATTAGTTAATTAATTAGGTAACGACTTCTTCCATGCTCCAACGACTCTGCAGACACCAATCCAATCAATTAAAGCCATTTGTTGCGATTATATTCTAAGAGATATTTTATAAAATAAATATAATTAATAGTAAATGTAACATCACGACAACCTAACTTGCATGCGGTGATGTTGGCTTTACTTTAATTAAACGAAATTTACCAAAAAAAAATGTAAAAAGAAAAAAGTTGATAAATAACATCTTGAAATTATGTTAAGTCTATGTTTAAAAAATGAGTAAGAACTATATTGAGCGACTTTTTGTTTCAAACATATTTGGGCTTATGTTCGTTGTTAAAAGTTAATAAATGTTCTCTAGAAAAATGAGTTATGCTTTTAGAAAAAGTAACGTTCAAAAATTAACAAACCTCAATTTAATTTTAACAACAATCAAACATGTTTTTTAAAATGATAAAAGTAAACTTGTAAAATAAATATAGAACTTATTTAGTTCAAATTGTAACCAATAGAAATTATTATTTTAAAACTTATTTACATATAAGTAATCTTCCAAAGATTTAACTAGTCATGCTGTTAGGGTCTTAGTGATGCATACTGGGCTCGTTGTCCCACCACAAAGAGACGTGATTTGTGTGTTTATTGGTGCTCAAAGAAGCAAAATAATGTCGCAAGAGGTTTAAAGTTAAATATCACTCCATAGCCTCAACTGCGGCTAAACATACATTGTTACGATCATTTTATGAGATCTTGGAGTTGAACTCTCTAAGCCACCTCAAGTCTTTGGGATAGGATAAGTGCACTCCCCATGTCCTTTCAAGAATTCAACACAGACACTTGATCAAGGCAAAATATCGATCTTCTTAAAAGTATGAATTTTCAGTTTACCTCATTGGAGTCAACTTCCTTCAATCAAGGAGAAATGATTAGTTCTAATATTGCAATAATGTTTATGTTTATTAGAATTGCGAGTTAATAGCCCAAATGGTCATCGAACTTTGTAAAAAGTTTTTACGGGATTATTGAACTTTAAAAATTACCCAAGTCATCACTAAACTTCTCAAAAGGTTTTCACGAGATTACTGAGCTTTGCAAAAAGTGTTCATGGAGTCATTGAACTTTAAAAATCATCACATTCATCACTAAATTTTGTAAAAGTTTCCTAGGAGATCACTAATTCAGCGATCCCTTAGGAAATCTTTTGCAAAATTCAGTGACCCTGCGGAAATCTTTTAACTTTTTAAATTATTTGATTTTTAAATAGAGGGATTAGTCATTGTAATAGATGCCCTTGATTATATGAATAAATTATTTTCTTTTGTTCTCAAATCTTCTCTCTTTTAATCCCCCCTCTTTCTTGTTCCTTATCAAATTAGTACGCTTCCACACACTCTCTTCCTCTCTCTCTCTATCTGTGTGTATGTTTGTGTGGGTTTTTGACCTTCTAGAGAGTATGATCACATCAATGTTTGTTTTGGTGTTTAATGCATCTGGTGCTAGCATGTGAAACTCTAGGCTATGTTTGGCTCACCGTATTAGGATATATAAGGAATTTAGAATAGTTTATAATTGATATTAATAGGTTGGTGGAGTGACGATGATTAAGATGGATGATGTTTTCAAATTTTGCATTCAAAAGATAGTCATTAGAACTGTTAGGCGTATCACATAATATGAAGGTTGGAGGTGGGATTAGATCGAATAAGGATGATATAGTAAATGACATTATTTTGAATAAAAAGTCAATTGATATTATCCACCTTAATTCACTATAATAAATCTATTTAATAATATTTATTATAATTTACTCGGAATTCTTATATAGTCTAATTCGATGTACCAACGTGGCCTTAGTTGTCATATTTACGGCAGAATTTCACTTTACCAGTAATGTTCACGCGATACACCAATTAGCCTTTTTCCTTCATGTGTATATTATATGGTGCCTTTTTCCTTCATGTGTATATTATATGGTTCTGAATGCTTAGAAGGATGACTTGGCTAGTTGTCACCTCTACGTGTACTAGACGGTCGCAAAATCTTGCTCTCACAAGGTTGATGTGACCTCTTCTATATCTTCTGTTGAACAAGTAGTTGGATTTGAAATGAAGCTCTCATTTTTAAAAGATTTATTTTTCTTTAAATTTATTTTTAATCACATTTATTTTCAATAAAATAAATGTACACGTAAATTCAAAATTTTTTCTTACTTTTAATCGCATATTCTTTAAAAAATCACTATTACAAAATCTATTCTCCTTAAAAACGGGGCTCAAACAAACCTGAAATGTGCCCACCTAAATGCCAGTACTGTAGTTTGCTTTTATTCACATAGTTGGAAATTGATCTCAAGTTGTACATTAACTTTTTGTTGGAAAAAAATGAGTAAATGACTCACTTTTGGCACAATTTTTAGTAGGACCCGTTGGTCCAATTTGAAAGATCAAAGTTGATCCTTATTCTCCTCCATGAGAGTATCAAAATCATATATTTGTCAAAAATGAAGTTCGGATGAATGAGAAATTGGAGCGCAAAGTTGACCATTGGAAGATGATTTATGTTGAAAAATAACATTTGTCCCACATAGAAAAAAGAAGGCATTAACCACTTTATAGGGCTACACATTGAAAGGGTGTAATAATGTGTAGTATAGAGGCTCTCTCCATGTGCGAGCGCAGGGGGTGCAAATTATGGACCAAAATAGCTTTCGGACCTTGAACTTGTGTGCAGGCACGACCTGCGTACACGAATGTCAAATCGAACGGAGCAAAAATTGGACCGTTTGGAGTGTCCACGTTTTGGAATTTTTTACTTTCTCCAACTGACTTTTGATTTCTGAAACTGCTAAAACTCTAGTAGAAATTGAAGTGACTCCATTGTTTATTGCCATAGAGTTAATGGCAGATTTAATTTACATAAAATCTCAATTTTTCAGTAATTTCTTACGCCACCAAAAAATACAGTCTACACTTCCAATGTACACGAAAATACAGTTTGCGCAATCTGCATACGAAAACTGTGTCTGCATATTGTTTTTCCGTCATCTTGGTGGTGATATTGTTCGAATACTAACTCAGTTCGTCGGAGAAGTTTCTGCAGTGTTCCGATTTTACTAGTTCACACTTCACTATTAATTATAAAATAAATATAATTAATAGTAAATGTAACATCACGACAACCTAACTTGCATGTGGTGATATTAGCTTTACTTTAATTAATTGAAATTTACCAAAAAAAAATACAAAGAAAAATGTTGATAAATAACATCTTGAAATTAGGTTTTGTGACGGTAGTCTATGTTTTAAAAATAAGTAAGAACTATATTGAGCGACTTTGTGTTTCAAACATATTTGAGCGTACATTCGTCGTTAAAAGTTAATACATGTTCTCTAGAAAAATAAGTTATGTTTTCGAAAAAGTAACCTTAAAAAATAAGCAACTGTTATAAAATTAAAGGGAAGAGAGAAAATAAGAGAAAAAATAAAGAGTTAAAACTCAATTGTGTATTATTATGAACCAATGCCCTATATTTATAGGTTCCAAAATTAGAGTTACAATTGAAATAAAATAGATCTTCTAAAGTATAGATAAGACTTATCCATATATCATGATAATACTAAATAATAATCAATAATTATCTCATTATTTTATAACACTCCCCCTTTGATGATTATTTGTACAATAACTGTCTCGTTAAAACCTTGTTTGATAAAAATTCAATGGGAAAAAAATCAAACGAAGGGTAAAGAGTACAATTATTTTGGAGTACTAAAAAAAATGTTGCCTCATTAAAACCTTGTTAGGAAAACACAATGGGACAAAACCTAAGTTAAGGAAAAAGAGTACAACTACTTCCACTGATATTGATCACTGAAAATCTTTGAGTCGACGCATTCCAATCTCATGAACTAATTTCTTGAATGTATATGTTGGCAGTGCTTTTGTGAATAAATTGGCCACATTGTCATTTGAGCGAATTTGTTGGATATCGATATCGCCATTCTTTTGAAACTCATGTGTACGAAAGAATTTTGGAGAAATATGCTTCGCCCTATCACCTTTGATATAACCTCCTCTGAGTTGTGCAATACA